CTTCATCACCTGTTATTCCCCCCCCCTCACTATTTCCTATCACGTACACACATATTGTGCATTTGTCCACCCTCCCAAATGCCCCTCCAGATGGCAGGAACTGGCAGGACCTGACACTAGGGCTAATTCGACCTTCACTGTTGTGGGTGTGACAGAGCTCCTCCCTGTCATTGTTTGATACAATCTAAATGGGTTTTCCAAATGTCAGCCCCATCCAAGACTACCCCAGATATCTGAAACTCTTGTAAATTGGATGCTCTCAATGGTCCCCTCATCTTTAAAGCTTTTTAACAGAAACGAGGCTTTCTAAGGCCAACAAAGGTTTTTGAGATACAGGTAATCCCCAAGTTACGAATGTTCCCTTAGTGAATGTTCGAAGCTACGCAATAAGCGCCCCCTAGTATTTACAAAAAAGTCCCTTAACTAGGAATGTTGCCGAGCCACAGCAGTTGTTCACCCTTACGAACGACCGCAGTGGCACTGGAACATTCACCCACATTATTTTCTCCCTTCCCCCCCCCTCAGTAGGGTCTCCCTAGCCACTAGAGTAGAGTAGAATGAATAGAACAGAATCTGGAAGGGACCTTGGAGGTCTTCTAGTCCAGCTCTCTGCTCAAGGAGGAGAACCTGTCCTATACCATCTCAAACAAGTGACTGTCTACCCTCTTTTTAAAAATCTGTGGGAAGCTGTTCCACTGATTGATTGTACTCACTGTCAGGAAGTTTCTCTTTTATTCCAGGTTGCTTCTCTTTGACCAGTTTCCATCCATTGTTTTTTTTCTTGCCTTCTAGTGCTCTGGAAAATAAGTTGTCCCCCCTCTTCTTTGTGGCAGCCCCCCAAATACTGTAATACTGCTATCATGTCTCTCTCTTCTTTTCTTTAGACTAGCATCCACTAGTGCTGTGGATACCTTGCGAAGATCGAGAGTTCCTTTGCTTTCTTGGCTGTTACGCTGCTTCCTTTGGTGTGTTTGCTGAGAATGGAGGCCTAAAGTAACATGAGATCACGCGAGATCAGTGATGCAAGATCTCACACTACTGATCACGTGTGATCTCACGGTAGTTTAGGCCTCTGTTCTCTGCAAAAGAACGGAATGGAAGCCTGGGGAGGGAAAGGAATAGGCCAGGAAACAAGGCCTCCGACGCCCGGTAATGACGCCAGGGGACGTTTCAATGGGCCTTCGGAGGAAGAAAACAAGCAAGCTCAGAGAGCACCAAGGACCCCTCATTTCAACCCTGAGGTAAAAATATTCTCCTTAAGTGATGAAACTTATTTTGTTAATTTCAAATGAGAAATTAATTAAGAAAATGTATAATTTTTTGTTAATTTTGGAAATGGAAAGTGAACAAGTTAAAGAAACAATGATAAGATGGGCGAAAAACTTTGGCTATAATATAGAACTAGAAAAGTGGCGAATGCTATGGGAGAGAAATTACAAATTAACAATGTCAACTTCATATAAAGAAAACTTGTATAAAATGTTTTATAGATGGCACTTGCCACCAGCAAGATTAGCAAAAATGTTTAAAAATATGTCAGATAGATCCTGGAAATGTAAACACAATGCAGGCACGTACTATCACATTTGGTGGACATGTGGCAAAGCCAAGGCTTATTGGAAAAAGATACATACATGGTTAGAAAAAATATTAGGTGAACACGTTGATTTTAAACCTGAACTTTTTTTACTAGGTATAATGCCTGAAAAGATTAATAACCAGAGTTTATATTTAATTTTACACATCACTACAGCAGCGAGAATAATCTTTGCAGAATACTGGAAGAATGAAGGATTGCCATCAGAAGAAGAAATAATCCGAAAAATATTGGAATGTGCAGAGATGGACAGATTAACTATGAGACTGAAAGATAAAGAAGACACAGACTACTACCAAATTTGGGACTTATTTTATTGTTGGTTAGAGGAAAGAATGAAAGATTAGGAATAGAATATGTACTAGGATAGCTAACCCCCACAGCTCGTTGATTGGAAAAATTAACATATATATGCAAAAGAAAACCAATAAAATCTCTATAAAAAAATAAACAAAACAAAACAAAATCTATGCCTTTCTTCAGAATGACACAGAATTAACTTCAAGGCTCTTTTACATCTGGATGGAACCTTCAATATTAATGAATGCACAAACCCTGTCAGGTCCACCATCGTGCCCTGCCATTCTTGGGAAGGGGGGGGGTGTTTGCTGGCAATTTTGCTTGCTTTTTGCTTTGTTGTAACTACTTGGTAATTTAAGGAGGGGGATATCTGCTGGTGGACTGGTGAGGGGGGTGGGTGGGCTTAGGCATAGTAAGCCAGCCTACCAAAGAGTGCCAGGTTCATTTTACCTGCCGCAGGTAATCCTCAACTGAGAATCATTATTCAAAGTTGCAACAGCATTGAAAGAAGGGACTTATAGCCAGTCCTCGAAGTTACGACCATCACAGCACCCTCACAGGTCACATAATCCAAATTTCAGGCACTTGGCAACCGGTGTGGATGTAGGACCCAGGATCACGTGATGGACCACTGGACAATTTCTGTTGCTAAGTTAGACATTTGTTAAGTGAATTTTGCCCCATTTTACGACCTTTCTTGCCACTGTTGCTAAGTGAATCCCTGCAGTGGTTAAGTCGGTAACACAGTTTTTAGCGACCCTGCTTTCCCCATTGATTTTGCTCGTCAGAAGGTCACAAAAGCGGATCATGTGACCCTCTCCAGGCACTGCCACCGTCATAAATATGAGTCAGTTGCCAGGTATT